ACCCTTTGAATTTCTGGGGGAATGCTGGATTAAAGAGGACCAATGGTATGTCTAAGTAATCTTTTTATTTTCTTTTTATATATATTGTTTATTATCTGGTAGGCTATTATCTTGTTAACATGGATCCTGTGGTTTTGCACTACATTCATTGTACTGAAATTGTTATTTTTCTCTTTATTTATTCAGAATTTAAGTAAGGAAACAATAAAGAGGCATTTGTGTTGCTATTTGAGTTACCTAGCACTCAAATGGATTTTCTAGATATAGATCCATGCATTAATCTAACAAGAGACTTTTAACACATACAAGTGTCTGTATGTTAGACAATAGCATTTTAGCATTACTGTTATACCATCACCTTTTTTTAAAGGAATGATTAAAATGTACCTCCCCAACGTAATGAATGGTAGGCTTTGAACCACATGTTGCTTTAATGTTTCATCACATCCTTCCTCTACTGAACGTACAAATCTAATTAATACTTCCCATGCATGCACCCATATTTTATCGTTATAATAGTCCCCGAGGTACTGTAGATAAGGTTAGGCCCCAATGTGATTCAGCAAATATAACAGTTGATCAAGGAGTATTCCAACTAAATGTCCATAAACTAGCCTTTAATGTATAGGCAATCCTAACAGTTACAGTGTGTATATATGCACACAGATAACTATCTAATACCCACATACACGCATAGACATACATACACTTATAAACAGGAGAAGAGGTGACTATGGAGATGGGATTATAAATACCTGCACTTCAATTTACCACACTGCCACTGTCGATTAGATTGCAGAAACAAAACCATGCAAATAACTGAACAGACAAAACTGCAGATTCTCTCAGTTTGAGAAAACTGTTCTTAGGGCTGTTCTCCTTCTCCTAAGTTAGACATGTAATCTCTTGCTATTAACTACATTTTGATCATTTCCCTAAACAATTAAAACAATTAAAGCAAGCTGCAAGTAGCTTTAAGACTAAGAAATCTCAGCTCTTTCTAAAGCCACATTTTGCCGAACAACTCAGGTTCTTCATAAAACTGATTACATTTCAGAGCAGCAGAAATGTGCTTGTAAAAGGTTTGTTTTGTTCTTGCAATCTAATCATCAAGACATACCACGTTAACAATTTTTGCAGGGCCCAAGCTTCAAATCTCAGCTGAGTTTTTTGCAAAGTCTCTCCATGAAGAACAGTTAAGATAAAAAGTTGCTAGATAGCTGAGCTCTGTGATATTCCGTGTTCAAGGTATGGCCAAGATATTTTTCTCCTCTAAAGAAGAGTAACAAATGATGCCTTCAAGGCAAGATGCATTGTACCCAAGGCTATTCAAGTTATTTGGACATGGGGGGGGGGGGGA